GTTCTTATTTTTACAATTAATATTGACAATTTAATTCTAAAACCGTAGACAGCGTTGCATATAACTCACACACAGAAAACAATAAAGAATAACAAATTTAAAAGGATCATTTTGTTTTAATAAAACACTGTGGCCCCAGGGGAAAATAATTATTTTTCTAGTGTGGCAGTCAATGTGTTAAAGTGAGACAGGGATGTACAAAGAGGGAGAAAACAGAAAGGAAGAGAAAGACAGAGAAAATGAACATTTGTGGATAAAGAAAGTAGTTTTCTGGCTGGGCGTGGTGGCTCACACCTTTAATCCTAGCACTCTGGGAGGCTAAGGTGGGAGGACTGCTCAAGCTCAGGAGTTCAAAACCAGCCTGAGCAAGAGTGAAATCCCATTTCTACTAAAAATAGAAAAAGTTAGCCAGGTGTGGTGGTGCACACCTGTAGTCCCAGCTACTCAGGAGGCTGAGGCAGGAGGATTGCTTGAGCTCAGGAGTCTGAAGTTGCTGTGAATTAGGCTGACATCACAGCACTCTAGCCCGGGCAACAGAGTCAGACTCTGTTTCAAAAAAAAAAAAAAAAGAAAGAAGAAAAAGAAAAAGAAAAAGGAAAAGAAAGAAGAAAAGAAAAGAAAGAAAAGAGAAAGTGGTTTTCTTAAAGTAGCATCCTCCTTAAATCATTTCGAATGCTATCACCCACCATAGGATTTTAAAGTATATATGTGTTCAAAAGTAGACGCATGAATAGAGCCATCTTCTCTTGATACTTGCCCCAAACTTAGGAAATAAAAGAAAGAAGTCACAGGAAAGAAGTTGAGAGCCAGAGACAAACTCAGTATGTGAGTCTAAATATGGAAAAGTCTAAATGGGGGTTTTATTTAAACTCTACCACATTCTATTTACCATCTGATCATATCACCTCTTTCTTAAGATATCAACCTGTTGTACACTAGCTTCAAAACATTCCAGGGCACTAATTTTTACCTTTTGTTTTGTCACAATCTTCGTATCTTAATCTTCCAAAACCACATCAAACAGATAGTGAGAGAAGGGTGATGAACAGTAAAATGAAGGCATTACTTAAGAAGAAAAGATTGTGGGGAAGAGTATCAATGAAACTCACTTGTGCCAAATATAGACACCAAACAACCCTGAAGCTTTTGTTTAAAGTCTATTATCCACTGGGTGATAAATTCTTTCTCAATTAATGTCTAAGCTAATTGAGAGAAATAAAGAGTAAGATTCAGAAGAAGAAATGGGTCAAAATATGAATCATAGCTACTTTTTCAGCATTATGAAATAAAAACAAGTTTGCTGATATACTAGAGCCAAACAGTTATATTTATTTATGGGAAAATAACCTCACACTTTGATAGAAAGAATCTACATCCACAACCTTATGGCTCACGCTCATAGTTTAATTTACTCCAGGGAAATGAAGTTAATCATAAGTAAGATTTTCAGTATCTATTTATTTGTTATACTTTGAAAGCAATGTCAGAAACCCTTTAAAAAAAAATTTTACCACTCAGGGAAAGCATCAATAGGGTACAGAAAACATACCTGAAGACACCCTGCTAAATACGGAGATGTCAATGACACCAATTAAGCAAAGAATATTTACTTGTTATTTCTTCCGAGAATAATGAAGCATAGGGGAAAAGGGGAAGTTTTAATTTATTATATTCTGCATTTTTAAAAAATTGCTCTTAAAGAAGTCAGATATCTTTTTAATGTGCCAATGTGCTAGACCTGGTTTAAAAAGCAACATGGCATAGTTTACAATATACATCAGGGTTACCAATGAGGCCTGTAGAATTCATGCATATTCTAAGAGAATATGGTATTCATGGACAAGTACCTTAAGGTTTAAGGTACCTCTATATTCTTGAAGCTTCAATGTATTATTATATTAGTAGCGAATAATTAGCAGTTTTTTTTGGTTTTTTTTTCACTTTTATTAAGTCAGTAACTGGTTAGGATAATTAGCAGTTTTTGAGGTCTGAATCACATGATTCTCACTGTCCCTATTTGGCCTCAAGCAAGTCACTGATAATAAATTTCAGTTTCCTCATCTGTAAAAAAGAAGATGGTGAATCAGGTCATTGCCAAGGCTGTTTCTTCGTCTAAGAATATATTTGTATACAATCCTTTTAGCCTATACTCAATCAGAGTTTATATTTGGATCATGGCCCAAACCTTTACTAATTCTTATCAGTAAACAGAAATAGAGAATATAACTGAAAAACGAAAACACTGACATTAAAGATATTATTGGAGTCAAAGACACAATGACCAATAAACACATATGGCACAGTTGTTAGTTCAGAAAATCAGGTCAACCAGGGGTCAATCAGGTCAACCAATGACGTTCACAAATCCTCCTGATCACATATACAACAGAACAAAAGTCCAAAGATTCATGTTCTAGTTCTACTCTGCCACTATGGAAAACTCATGGGTTTGTGGTCAAAGACTGTAGAGGTCTATGATCTTGTTACTTAATTTCGCTGAGCGTCATTTTCCTCTGGAAAAAAAAAAAGGGAGTACATCGTCTCATACAATCACTGTGAGAATTAAAAAGCATATTTAGAGCACCTATGACAGGGTCTACCACATTTTAAGTATTCAGTAAATGGGATTTCTGCCTACCTTTTCCCCCATGTGTTGGAAATACCTTCCCTGGGTTCCTCTTAGTATACTGAGAAAATTCTAAGATTGTAATTACATAACATTAAAATTAGAAGGAACCAAGGCCTATTGATTTTACCACTAAATCTCTCTCCGACCCTTCTATTTTTTATCATCTCTCCTATTATCACTCTGGCATAAACTACCATCATCTGTCATCCTAATAAAATAGCCTTCTTCTAACCAGCCCTCAAATCTCCTCTCATGTCTCTACCCTCTCCCCACTCCATTCCCTCAAAGCAGCAGCAAGACACAGGTGCTGAAAACTTTCCCATGCACACTTAGAATAAAATCAAAACTTTACCACAGCCTTCAAGACCTGGCATGGCCTGACTGGCCTAAATTTGCATTTGCCACTTTCCTTTCTTGCTCAATTCATAGTACAGCATCCTTTGCTGTACTAAATTCTTTCAGAATTTAAGTCCTTTCCTTCTTATGTTTGGGCTTTCACAAGCACTGTTCCCTGTACCTGGACTGATCCCACTACCTCTCTCACTTAGTTAATTCTACTCTTCTTCCAAAAGCTCAATTCACATGTTACTTGCTCAAGGACAAAAATAAGTTAGGTCACTCTGTTATTATTTAACCAAAATAAGTTAGGTCACTCGTTATTTGTCTCAAAGCATTCTACACATCTTCACAGAACTTATAACCATTGTAATTATGGGCCCAGCAGGCTTCTGCTGCGTGACTCTGCTACCCTATAACCATTGTAATTAAATAATGAGGTTTACAGTTAGTTGTTTAATGTCTGTCTGATCTGCTAGTACTGTCAGCTCCATGAGGGAAGGATCATGTTCACCATTGTATCCCCAGCACCTAGGACAGTGCCTGACACATGGCAGGTACTCAAATTTTTGTTGAGGAGTAAATGAAGGGACCTCTTGTTCTATTTTGCAGATTAAGAAGCTACCGTTAGGATATGTTAAGTGACTTGCCTAAGGCTTGGACACCAAGAGTTCTTATTCCCAGGTCAAAGTCATTTTCACTGCACTTAACTCTGAGGGCCTTCCACCTCTAACATTTTCCTCTCTCTGAAAATGCAATAAATAATGTGAAAATATTTTACATGGATTTTCACTTTGGACAATACACTTGTTCTTGCTCTATTTCCTACTCTCCCACAGGGCACCTATAGGGGAATTTTATTATCTTGCTTTCTCTGCTTCTTCCTAACATTAAATTTAACATACATTACTAAATAATCTAGTAGGTGAGGCAGGTAATTCTTGTAAACAAGGAATTATATTCAACAAAGGTAAATGCAAATGGCAGGATAAATGAGTTACTGACAAAGCACAGTTTAGGCAATAATTGTGCAGGGAGCAGTAAAGAAAGGAATCACAGAGGTGACCCTTGAGACAGGTTTTGGTTTTTTTTTTTTTGAGACAGAGTCTCACTCTGTTGCCTGGGCTAGAGTGCCTTGGCGTCAGCCTAGCTCACAGCAACCTCAAACTCCTGGGCTCAAGCGACCCTCCTGCCTCAGCCTCCCGAGTAGCTGGGACTACAGGCATGCACCACCATGCCCGGCTAATTTTTGCATAAATTTTTAGTTGGCCAATTAATTTCTTTCCATTTATAGTAGAGACGGGGTCTCGCTCTTGCTCAGGCTGGTTTCGAACTCCTGACCTTGAGCAATCCGCCCACCTCGGCCTCCCAGAGTGCTAGGATTACAGGTGTGAGCCACCGCGCCCGGCCTTGAGATAGGTTTTGAAGGGTGAATAGGAGTTTGTCAGAAGAAGAAAACATTCCAGGCAAAGGAACAACACATGTACAGAGGCAATGCATCCATACAACACATATTAATGACTGCATACCAGTGCCAGCACCTATATGACCTGCTTTTCCTACATGGGAAAGTGCATGGTTCACTGAACTCCACGAACGGTACTGTTGGTATTTCTACAGAGAAAAGGGAGATAAGAATGCAGTGGAAAGGAACAGTGAGATCAGAGGCCCTTGCAGGCTGTGCTAAAAGGCATGTAAAATACCTTGATCCAAAGACTTCTGAGCTACGAAGTGAGAACCTCAGATTTACATTTGTTTGAGTACCCCCATTCAGTTCGAATCACGCCTCAGATTCAACAAAGAAAGAAAAACTGGCTCGAAAATCTTCAAAAGCCAAACACGACACACTAAAAACTCTGTCACAGAAGCAATCTTTTTAGATCTTTACTACAACCCGCTGAGGCTGCCGAGTAGTACTCACTACCAAACAGTTAAAGAAACAGCCTGGAAAAAAAACAGTTGCGCGACAAAAGGTCGGCGCCCACACCGGGCGCCACAGGACCTCCCGCCCTCCCGTCGGCAGAGACCCGCTCACCTCCGCAAGTTCTCGATCTCGGCGGGGATGCTCTGCAGCTGGTTGCCGCCCATGCTCAGGGTCTGCAGGGCGCGCAGCTCCAGCAGCGAGGCGGGCATTTCCTGGAAACTGTTGCCGCTGAGGTTGAGCACCTGGAGGCTGCGGCAGAGCGGCGACTGGGCCAGGCCCTTGGGCAGCGCGCTGGGCCCGCCGAGCCGGTTGTTCTTGGCCAGCAGCGTGCGCAGGCCGTGCAGCGCGAGCAGCTCCGGCCCGAGCGTGGTCAACGCGTTGCCGCTCACGTCCAGCAGCTGGAGGTGCTGGAAGCCACTGCCCAGCGCCCGTGGCAGCGACACCAGACGGTTGTGAGGCAGCAGCAGACGCAGCAGCGCCTCCCGGGAGCCGCGCCGCTCATCGCCTCGCGCCTCCAGCTCGGACTCCAGCGTCTCGGGGGACAGGCTGAGCCGGGACCAGTTCAGTTCGGCCTCCCCGGCCGTGGCCACCGCCGCTCCGGCCTCCTCCATCCTGGCGGCCACACGGCGCCTGGCGCCGGATTCCCCACAGGGCCGCGCGCTCCGCCGCGCCCCGGAACCTGAACCGAGGCCTGAGTCGGAAGTGGCGCGCGCGGACACTGACCCGGCGCGCCCGTGACGGGCCACGCGACGCTGGGGTCTGGGGTGCGCGCGCCGCTGCGAGGGCAGGCTCCGCCTCACGTGGCGCGCGGCGCGGCGGAGCTGCGCGGAGCTGGGGAGAGACTTGGAGGCCGCGTAGTTGTCTTCTGAGCTGGACGGGGTTTGGGCAGCTGGGCGGGGTTTGGGCGGCCGCGCTTAGTAGTTACTGGAGTCTGGTGACTTGTCTGCGGGCTCCAAGACCGCCTGGGTACCAGCCCAAGGACTGATTGGCCTTGAGGGTTAGCGCGTCAAGGTGCGCCGCCCACTTGTTTTTCGCTTTAGAAGTGGGGCCCCTAGTCAGCAAGATTGTGTGAGAACAGGAATTTAGTGTTGATTTGGCTCCATGACAGCAAACCCCAGGAATTTAAAGTCCAGGGATTAACAAAGCCGACTTCGAAGTGCGAAGGCAGCTGGACTAGAAATCGGAACCCTGGATCCTTACTTGGGTTCCGCTGTTAATAGTCTTGTGTCCTGGCACAAGGGCCGCATCCATAAAATATGGATAATACCTTCCCTACTTGCCCTACAGGATTATTTTTTTAATGATAAGAAAAACTGTACTTCAAGTAAGGATGTTTTGCCCATTTTAATTGTGGAAGCACTTCTGTGGTTTTGGGTCCAAGTTGTAGTGACTAGGAATGAATCTGGGATCAGCCAGCAGGTTCCTTGATGTGAGTGAGATAGCTCAAGTTAATTGGTCAGCTGAAGAACTCAGAAAGCATTGAAATTTTGCTCCAGGTTAAAACTACAATTAAACTGGGAAAATCCCTATTCTGGCACTAATTTAGTAATTCTTATTAACATATGTTTTCATCATTGTCCCAAACTTAGTCTTTCCTGAAATTACTTTTTATGACTTTGAAAAGTCATGAGTAAAAATGAGAAAAGTACTTAGCCTTTTTTTTTTTTTCTCTACAAAGCTTACACATAAGAAAGTTACTTACCAAGGTAAGTCCATTAGCAGACTGCTTGGTGGTGCCCGGTGGCACTGCCCAAAGAGAAAGAAGCGAAGATGGTTTTTCTCACTCTCTCCGAAGAGTTTAATCCAAGTAACCTAGAGAGAAATTGCAGTTGGTAGCAGATCAGAAAGAAGCAGACGTGTGGAGTGCTGTTAATTTTTGTCAACTGTGGAACATAAGTGCAAAGATTCATAAAATGCTGCTGAGGTCTAGGGCTGCCTTATATCCAGAGTGACAATCCAGGTGCAGCTTCATTGGGGGCAACTTTGTTAAAAGCTAGATTAGATTAATATAAGAGTCTCTTCGATGCTTATTAGAGTAAACCCTTTCTATCTGAGCTATCTTGGATGCATCTCTTTTCAAAGCAGCTAGATGGGTCTAAATTAAGCAACATCCCTCAACCCTACAGTGAGCCTTGAAACCATCTAGTCAGCCTGGGTTATAGGGAATTGGGAAAGTACATGGCATATTTGTCAGCTTTTCAAAACTTCACTTTATGTTATGCTTGGTCAAACTGAATACATTTCAGTATAAGTCTCCTGACTAGAATATTATGGGGCAGGAACTGTCTGTTTACCATGGCATTCACCTAAGACATAGTAGGCACTCAATACATAGTGAATAAATGAAATAAATGCATGCATAATTTTGGGCATACCTGACTTCAATGGCCCTATTGACCTATTGACTGCAGAAAAATTAAGAAATAATCTGAGTGGAGAATGCTTTCATAAACCATACTAGCTGGGAGGCATTATACTGGTGTGATTGAAAGAGTAGATTTTGGCTTTTATTAGATATGGTTTTCAAAACCTATCTTTGGAAATTAGATTTCTGTTACTTAATGTTGATTTTGTTAATCTCTTTAAGCCTTGATTTCATCATCTGTGTTATGAAGTATTAATATATTATGTGTTTCATAGGGTCCTCCTAAGGCATAAGGCTAAAGTGCTTAACATTAGTACCTAGCATTGCTTGGGCACGGTGGCTCTCCCCTGTAATCCTACCACTCTGGGAGGCCGAGGTGGGTGGATCGCTCAAGGTCAGGAACCAGCCTGAGCAAGAGCAAAAGCCTGTCTCTACTAAAAATAAAAAGAAATTAATTGGCCAACTAAAAATATATAGAAAAAATTAGCCAGGCATGCTAATGCATGCCTGTAGTCCCAGCTTCTCAGGAGGCTGAAGCAGAAGGATCGCTTGAGCCCAGAGTTTGAGGTTGCTGTGAATTAGGCTGACGCCACAGCACTCTAGCCCGGGCAACAGAGTGACATTCTGTCTCAAAAAAAAACAAAAAAAAACCCACCACATTAATACCTAGCACAAAGTCAATACTCCATAAATAATGGCAATTATTAATATTATGAGCTGTAATAGTAATAATCGTTATTTTCATAACTATTATTCACTGCTACTTGTTAAATCATGATCAGCGTAAAGAGAAACAAAGTTGACAACAGTCGTTACTCATGATTGCACAATTTCCTACATAAACCATGGTCCTCTGCTTCGGGCTATTCATGTTTTAAGACTTAAGATTTGAGAGCCTGGTCTGAACTCTCCTTATCCAAGATTTATGTTTATTGTTTTATCTGTCTCCCAGTTATATCAAGACCAATTTTAAAAAGAGCAAAGGATCTGAAAAGACATTTCTCTAAGAATATGTAAAAATCTCTAATAAGCATGTGAAAATATGATCAGCATCATTAGCCATCAGGGAAATCAAAATCAAAAGCACAATGAGGCCGGGTGCTGTGCCTCATGCCTGTAATCCTAGCATTTTGGAGGCCATCTATACTAAAAATAGGAAAAAAAAAAAAAAAAGGCACAACAAGATACCACTCATACCCACTAAGCTAGCTAAAATAAAAAAGATGATAGATAATAAGTACTGGTGCAGATGTGGAGAAATTGAAACCCTTATGGACTGATAATAGGAATGAAAAGTGGTACAGTCACTTTTGAAAACAGTCTGGCTATTCTTCAAAAGTTTAGAAAAAACCAGAGTTACCGTATCACCTAGCAATTCCACTCCTGGTATATACCTAAGGGAAATGAAAATATGTCATCACAAAAACTTATACATGAATGTTCATAACAGCATTTTTCATCATAATGAAAAAGTGAAATCAACTCAAATCTCCATCAACTGATGAAGGATAAACAAAGTGTATGTCACAATGGAACATTATCAAGCACTAAAAGGAATGAAGTGCTGATATATGTTACAATGTGGATGAATCTTGGAAACATTATGCTAACACATAAGTGAAAGAAACCAGTCATAAAAGAATGCACACTGTTTGATTGTGTTCATATGAAATGTCCAAAATAGGCAAATCTGTAGAGACAGAAAGTAGATTAGTGGTTGCCAAGAGCTGGAGGGAAGGGAATTGGGAGTGACTGCTAATGTGTGAAGGGTTTCTTTTTTGGGGTGATGAAATTGTTAAAAAATTCATTTTGGTGATGGTTGCACAACCCTGAATATACTAAAAACCATTTAATTATACACTTTAAGTAGGTTAATTTTATCGTATATGAATTATATCTCAATAAAGTTGTTATTTTGAAAAAAACACGTGAACCCATATTAAAATGTAAAGTAGCATTTGGTAACTGTTATACAGAGGAGTAAGTGAATACTATCTCATACTGCCACAATTAGGAAAGCCTTCAGGGGATGGTCAAATTTTGGTACAAATGGGATGAGGCATACAAAATTGAAGGAAAGAAGAAAGATATTGAAAATTATAGCATATATCTGGGAAATGGTGATAGGTCTAGTTTGGCTAGCATGCTCAGTGCTGGTGGTTACTAATAGCCAAGTATTGTCATATTTTGGAGAATAATGAGAGGAAATATTTAAAATTTTAACTTTGCCCCCCAAATCTAAGGTATACTATTATGATATAGTATAGAGGAATAGTAGTAAACTTTGAAATGATATGTTCATCTAGGCCATGGAGAGAGAGAGGTATGAAGACCAAGTGAGGCAATCACTTCCAATTCTTCCCTTACCTCGAAGCTCCAGAGCTTTTTCCAGACCTCTTTCCTTATTAGCTCATGCAGACATCACATGAAAAGACTGCAACACTTGGTGGAGTCCGTGGAATGTGGCACTCATAGAAATAGTCTTTTTTTTTTTTTTTTTTTGAGACAGAGTCCGCTTGTTGCCCTGGCTAGAGTGAGTGCGTGGCATCAGCCTCGCTCACAGCAACCTCAAACTCCTGGGCTCAAGCGATCCTCTTGCCTCAGCCTCCCGAGTAGCTGGGACTACAGGCATGTGCCACCATGCCCGGCTAATTTTTTCTATATATATTAGTTGGCCAATTAATTTGTTTCTATTTATAGTAGACCCGTCTATTTATAGATGGGTCTCACTCTTGCTCAGGCTGGTCTTGAACTCCTGAGCTTGAGCAATCCGCCTGCCTAGGCCTCCCAGAGTGCTAGGATTACAGGCATGAGCCACCGCGCCCGGCCAGAAATAGTCTTATATCTGAGTGCCAAGTATTCTTCATGGTTTCTCAATACTGTGGTAGTATTAGGATGTTCCTCCTCTGCCTCACGGTGAGTGAAAGTCAAGTGTAGGTCAAGGCTCAGACCTTGTAGCATGAATTAGAGAAGTGACACAAACTGATCACAATTATTTCATTCCATTATATTCCAGTTATTTTATTGAGGGCCTACTATGTAAAAAAAAAAATTCTATAATAGATGCTGTAGGTGCTAAACAAAAAAATTCCTCAATAGTTCATGTGAGTGGATGTAGCTTTAAGTTTATTATGAAAGTGCATACATGTTTCCTTCACTCATTGCCAGGTGGGTGGCTCACGCCTATAATCGTAGTGCTCTGGGAGGCAGAGGTGGGAGTTCGAGATGTTTCCTTCACTTAGCCACTAAAAGTGATTAGAGAAACGGAGAGGTTCTGGAGACCCAAAGCCAGGAACTAACTGCTTCATTTACAGTCAGGTGGGATGAGGAACCAGGGAGAAACTGCCTCTGGCACCTATTCCCAGCAGGAGGCATCCTGTTCTTGTCTTCATGTTTTTTGCTCTGTTGTAATAAGTCTATTTATCAAGAGAAGTGTTTCTTCACACCCTCGCCAATAGTGCACTGGGCTATGCTGAATGTCAGGACTAGGTCATCCCAGTTCAGACCCAGATAGTAATCCATGTGCTGTGGGGTGGGAGAGGGAAAGGTTCTCTAAGGGAGAATTGGCCACTACTGAACTTGAGCCAAAGGTTAGTGGAAAAGGCTTCAAACAGGAGATACAAACCAAAATTACCCTAAGAGGGAGAGAATAAAGAATCTCATTTGCCGTCTCCTTTCTGCACCCTCACCCTCCCTACCACATTATGTGTAGAAGGTCAGTCTCAGCATTTCTTAATTTTTCCAGTTATAAACTATTTATTGTAATGTAAATGTCAAAGGTCAATATAGACAATTTAGAGCTATGTAATGAAAACAACCAAAATCACACATAATCTCACCTTCCAGAAATAACCATGGTTAACATTTTGGTGTATTTCCTTCCTTTCCTATACGCACATATTTTTTTCCCACAAAATTGAAATCATACATATGTGCATATGTATATTAAGTTTTATATTGATTTTTTCACCAAAAATTGTATAGTAAGCATGATTACCATGTTATTTAATTATTCTTCAAGAACATGATTTTTAAAAACATGAGTGAAGAATTATGCCCCAACATTGGACATTATAGTGTTCTTTAGTCCCATTCTTCCACCATAATACCTTGTTGTATACACTTCTTTTAGCCAACAAATACAGCCATAGAAATATTAAGTCACATGGAGCTCTTTGCTGAGCTTTTGCGGCAACAGCTTGGTAAAAACACCATCACCAAGCCCTCTCCCTGGGGACTGCCACACAACTGTCCTTCCAAGACAGGCTGACTCCACCTCACTTGCTTCTCTCCTGACTGATCAGAGGGACCAGCTGCAATACAGGTAAGCTCTTTCAATAAAGGGACTATTTATTTGGGAGAAATTGTTGGCTGTGACTGTGAAGTTGAGAGTCAAATGTGACTCAAATGTCAACTGAGTCTGTTCCCTTTACACTTGTGCTGCCACATAGAGCTAGTTCATAAACTCTTTATTTTTCTGCAAATCAGAGGTGAAAAGGGTACAAGGCAGAGGTGCACTGCTGGAATTTTCTGTTTTGGCAGTATAGTTTATACTTGTCTTTAGTCATGCATGAATTTCTTTTTTCTGTTTTTGTTGTTTTTCTTTATTCTTCTTCCTGTTATATAATGACTCTTTCTAAGGATCTTATACTAGATTCAATTTAATTCAGTTAATTCCATAAACACTTATAGGGGGCTGGGCGTGGTGGCTCACGCCTGTAATCCTAGCACTCTGGGAGGCCAAAGTGGGCGGGGGTGGGGGAGTGGGAAGGGAATCCTTTGACCTCAAGAGGTTGAGACCAGCCTGAGCAAGAGTAAGACCCCATCTCTACTAAAAATAGAAAGAAATTAGCTGGACAACTAAAAAAATATATAGAGAAATTTAGCCTGGCATGGTGGCACATGCCTATACTCTCAGTTACTTGGGAGACCAAGGCAGGAGGATTGCTTGAGCCCAGGAGTTTGAGGTTGCTGTGAGCTAGGCTGACACCACAGCACTCTAGCCCAGGCAACAGAGTGAGACTCTGTCTCAAAAATAAACAAAACAAACAAAAAACACTTATTGGGTGTCTATGACATATGGAACATCATGATGGATATATGAAAGACAAGGAGGACCTAGCCTTGCCCTTGAGGAACTTACTGTCTAATAGGTATGATGAGATATGCATATAAATAACTCGAAGACAAAGTAGAACAAGTTATAAGAATATCGAATGATGGAGAAATGCTCACAAAATAGTGTCATGAGGAAAATCAAACTGGACACCAAACTGTACAAATTGAGTTCTCTTAAAAATTACATATGTAAAAGACAGAAAGGAATGCTCCAAAATGGTAATAATGGATGTCTGGGTGATGAATTAAAAGTGATTTTAATATTCTTCTTTATTCTTTTCTATTTTTTTAAAAAATGGTTACAGTGAACCTGTGCTAATATTTGAATCATTAAAAATAAGCTTTATTAAATGATTAAGAATGTTACATAATGGTACGAAATGCAGTGGAAGTGCAAAGGAGCAAAGTTTATATTTGATTGGGGGTGAGGGAAATCAAGAAGGCTTTAGGATTCATGTCTCTCATAATGATGAAAAGCTTTTACATCTTAGAAATAAGAATAAAATTTTACTGAGTTAAAGAGGCATAATATATTTTTACAACTTTTCTTTCCCTAAGACTTTAGTCTCTCTGTTAACTATAACTCTAGTAGCTCCTATTTGCAGTATCATCTTTTAAATGTTATATTATTTTACATATATCTTTATAATATTTTACTACGTGTACCATGAAGAGATATTTTCTTGCTCAGATGATGTCAATCACTAGTCTTATTCATAAGGAGAGTACATGGATTTGCAAAGAATCTTGCCACTTGTCCCACTGACCCCAGAAATATTTTATTTGGTCATTGGCTGGCAATGGCTGCTCCTGTGTCATCTTGTTTTTCTGAAGATTTCTGTGTCTGTTAATATTCAATCCACAGAGCACATATTTTCCAGGGTCTAATAGGTTTCCAGGAAAAAGACTTATTGTAATGTTCCAAAAGCCATCTGCTTCATCAGCCCATGAGCTTCCTGTTTCAGTGGATGCCCTGGGCGATGTGGCTTCCCATGGTGTGTGGGCTGCAGCCGTTTGTCAGGACAGAGTTTAGGTGGAAGGCACAGGCTTCAGCTAACCTCCACAGTGAGCGTCCTGGCTCTGTGTGATCCTAAATGAATTATCTGTGCCCCCTATGCCTTAATTTCCTTACCTACAAAATAGAGATAAAAATAGTACTTACTTCATAGGCTTATTTTGAAGATTAAATTTGGCATTTGTAAGCATTTGATGTATAGTTGCCATTATTATGATGTATCAGAGACCTGGAGGATTGTGGCAGGTTTTTTGTTTTTTGTTTTTTCTTTTTAATAGATAACAGGAAGAAGAGGAAGCAAGATAGTATGCTGAGGGGGTATGATTATCTTATCTTTCTTCAAAATAGTAAGGGACAAAAAGAACATGTAAAGAAATAATTGCCATACAGGGTGATTCATGCAACAATAAAACTATGTTCAGGATAAAGAAGGAATGATTAGCTGGGTAAGGGACCAAGGAGGACTTTGAGAAGTGCTACTTGGGTAGAGTTTTGAAGGAGTGAGTAGTAGGGGCTAGATGAGGGCATGGTGACGGGGCACATGTCAGGCGAGGAGAGTTTGGGCAGCACTGTGACTTTGGGATGGTACCCTTGGAACTCAAAGAGATGAGGCCAAGTGAGAGAAGCTGGATCCTGCTCATGATTATCAGTGGCCTTACCTGTATGTAGATGTGGATTTGTGTCAGAGCTTCTTGAAAGGGTTTCTCGAAAGCTCTTTCTCCCGCCCCTTCCAGGGCTGGCCTGGGCTCATGAATACCATTCCCCTTAAAGTGCAGCCCTGGCTAGACTCACTTAGCACTGCCTCTTGGTTATTTTTCCTCCCAGATACACTCGTGTATCTATTAGTTATAGCTTCTCTACTTCAGATCTGCCCCAGCAACACCCCGAGAAGCCAATGAGCATTGCTTGGCAAGCTGTCACTGGTCACTCAAATATCATCTTCAGGGCTGACTCCAGATCCAAATGAATCCAGCTGTGACTCACCTTGAGAGATAGATTTGCATATCATAGAAACAGAGTCCCAGGTTCATATAGCAAAATGAACAAACTGGCACAGGGTCAGCCTGAATGAACTGGACTCAGGAGGCAGTCCCACATGGAGGACTGAGGTGCTGGAAGCCTCTGTCTGCTAAGTGTGCATCTGGTGGGCATGCAGTCCCGAGGGGGTGTCTGTGAGGGCCACCCTCTGACCCAGCACCAGACGGCTCCTGTTATGCTGGTCCACACTCTTTCTTGGCTGAAGCAAATTTTCTGCCTTTCTTTTTGTTCTTACAGAATGTCTTTCTTTTTGGTGACTGTCAACATACTTTTTCTTCATGGTGCAGGTGAGTCACTTTGCAAAGAATTTTGTGTGTATTTCTGAAATAGCTTTGGGGATAGTGAGGAAAATAGTAGTTTGAAGATTAAAAAAATGAACAAATAAGCAAAAGACTTAATCTCTTCAAACCTCAATCCTTTCATTTGTTAAATGGAAATAACAAATACCTACTATATTTGCTTCACAGGAAATGGTGAAGAGCAGGTGGAAGAATATAAAAGACACATATTATAAATCATTATTGTTTGTTTTGCTTTCTTTTTTTTAAAATGAGAAAATCCTCCATGCCACCCCAAATTCCAACCAATTTGGTTTGTCCATATTAGGCCATACGTGGGTTCATATCTATAGTGTGAACCTCCCCCCTCCATGCCCTCCCCAAAAAACTAGACTCCCACTTTCCAGTGACTCTGACAAGTGCCAATTTATAGTATAGTATCCAGAATATTAAAATCAGGTCTGTCCTGAAAATTCTGAATAGGCAATGAACACAGGGTTTGTATAACTCTTTATACTCAATTCTTTAAAGATATTGGTGATAGTGCTCGCTTCGGCAGCACATATACTAAAAATATTGGCAATGAACAATGTAACAATATATAGATGTTAGAAATGTTAATGTAATTCAGCTAACCAAGCTTATAAGGCAAAGTTTCTAAAAATATGCTATGTATCCAAACCTGCGTTATACCTGCTCCACAAAGTGATTTAACATATTTATAGTCTTCAAGCATGTGCCATCTCCCAGGGACCTAGAGCAGTTCTGCCAGTGTCTTGAAAGTGCAGCAGCTTGAAGCCATCCTCAGGCTCCAGAGATCAACTCAGGAGTTAGTGCAAAGTCTAGCCAACCCAGCTTACATTTACTGGCTCTTTTCACTTGATGCTGATTACTCTGTGTGTGTTTTTTTAGAGGGAAGCAGTAAGGCAAAATGAGGTGGTGATCCACTCATAGGAAAAATGCAACCAAATAAATTAAAGGAATAGAAGTGTATGTTGGATAGAAAGAGAAAGGTCTGTCTCTTAGCTCTATAATACCTTACATTTTATAGCAATATTAACTACCTAATACTATGTGCTAGGTATGATAGCAGGTGGTTTAGACATAGTATCTTTCCACAGTTTATTAGACTTTTGTGGAGCATTTGCCCCAGCTTCTTAGGCCCTGGGAAACTAAAGACACAATAGTCTAGAAATAACACAAATTAAAATAGACGAAGGAGATATTCAGATTCAAGTACAACCATATGCAGACATATTGGTCAGAAGCTGGCTTTTATATTACTAGTTACACCAGCAGTGGCTTGTGTTTAATGATTCATTAGTTAGAGCCTTTGGGTTCCTGAATCTGAGACTCTTTCCCATGGGGCCAGAAATGATACAGCTGTAGCAAGACCTCCTGGGTGTAACCCAAGAAACTAGGATCAAGGGCCCCTTGTGAATAAGCTACATATTCTTGTGAGAGAATTGGGGAAGGAGCAGACTAAAGTATCTACCCATCTGCTCTACTCCCTCTGTCCCTCTGAAAAATGACTGAGCCATGTCATATAAAAACAGTCCCAAAGACCCCAAGGTATTTCATAACAACCCTGGGGCAGGTGTTATTATTCTAATTATACATGAAGAAACTGCAACTCAGAGAGCTCATAACCTTCTTGATGCCAAATGACTAGTAAGGGGGTACTTAGAACTAGAACTTAGATTTACAATTTTTCAGACCAGGATTTTTTAAAATTATAAAACATTGCTTCTTTATTATAACCACATCAGAAAAATAACAAAAATTTGAAAAAGAAAGCATTTAGTTTTTTTTATTTGCAAATCCATCCTTCTGAAGGTTATGCAAATTGTCTCTTCCTGCCTCCTCCTTCCATCCTACCTTCCTTTATATTCATTCATTTGTTTAATTAGTCATTGATTCAAACTTAGAATGAGTGCCTCCCATTAAAAGATGAAAGAGCCCATTTCTGGCTTTGGAGCCAGGCTGCCTGGGTTTGAATCACAGCTCTACTACTCACTAGCTGCATATCCTTGAGCAACTTACTGCACCTCACTGTGTCTGGAATTTCTCAGTAGTAAATCAGAGATAATAATAGTACCTGCTGTAGTGTTAGTATGCAGATTAAGTGAATTAATGCCAGAAATGCTCTTAGAATGTTTAGCACATTGTAAATGGTTGATAAATATTACCTGATATAGTCAGGGTTCTCCAGAGAAATAGAACAAACTGGAGAGAGAGGGGGAGAGAGGGGAAGAAAGAGAGAGAGATTATAAGGAATTGGCCTATGCAGTTATAGAGGTTGAGAAGTCCCAAAATCTGTAGTCGGCAAGCTGGAGGCATACAAGAGTCTGAGTCCAAAGGGTTGAGACCCAAGAAGAGGCCATGTTTCAGTTCGAGCCCAAAGGCAGGAAGACTGCTTAAGCAGTCAGGCAAGAAAAATTCTCTCTCTTACTTGTAGGACGGTCAGCTTTTTCTGTTCTTCTCAGGACTTTAACTGATTGGATGAGAGCGGCCCATATTAGGGAGGGCAATCTACTTTATTCAGTCTGTCCATTCAAATGTTAATCTCATCCCAAAACACCCTCACATAGAACTAAAAGTAGAACTACCATTTGATCCAGCAATCCCACTATCTACCCAAAGCAAAAAAAAAGACATTCTATAAAAAAGACATCTGCACTTGAACGTTTATAGCAGCACAATTCGCATTTGCAAAGACGTGGAAACAACCCAAATGCCCATCAATACACGAGTGGATTAATAAAATGTGGTATGTGGATACTATGGAGTACTACTTAGCCATTAAAAATGGTGAACTACCTCTTGTATTATCTGGATGAAGCTGGAGCCCATTCTTTGAAGTCAAATATCACAAGAATGGAAAAACAAACACCACATGTACTCACCATTAAATTGGTACTAATCAATCGACACTTAGGTGCACATATGGGAAGTAACATTCATAGGGTGTTGGGCAGGTGGGGTGGAGATAGAAGGGGATGGGTAAATTCACACCTAATGGATGCTGCACACCCTGACTGGGGGATGGGTACACTTGTGGCTCTGACTTGGGTGGTGCAAAGGCAATTTATGTAACCAAAGCATTTGTACCTCCATAGTATTCTGAAATTTAAAAAAAACCTCACAGGCACACCCAGTATAATGTTTGACCAAATATCCATGCTTCCCCATCAACCACTGTGTGCTTGCCACAGCTGGAGTGAACAGATCATATCTATTATTCAACTGGAATGTCCCATATTAGATGTCTCTTGGGCTGTTATTTGCTGGGCTGGTAGCTTAGAAGCTTTCTTGCCTGCTATTTTATCATTTGGATATACTCTTGGTGCTTCACCTCTTTTTTCTTCTATTTCATTTCACCTCTTTATATCAAACAGTATCCTTACTTTGGCTCTGTAGATCAGCTCTTCCTCCTTTCTGCTACTTGTTACCTGCATGGTGTCTTTAGGAGAAAATAACATTGCCTTCTTCTTGGAGTCCCTACCTTTATAGTGATTAAGTCTCATTATTCTCTCTTACTCAAATTGGAATTTAATTAGTCTTTGGGGCTTAAAAGTTTTGTGGCTGTGACCCTAAAAGTCCTTTTGAAACTCTAAGAGGTCTAGTTTCTTTCTATAGGCTACTAGTATCTTACTTTGTGATCTTCAGCAACTTTGCTTCCTGGGAATCAGTTTTATCTTTCAGTAACAGAGGCATTTGACAGAAGAAATCTGATTTGGAAACCTAAGTTATAAAGAGTTATAAGTTATTAGAGAGAGATTGTTCTGATTGAAGTGTCAAAGGAGTGGAGATCCCAGCGATTTGGTCTTCACCTGATCATCAGTGGCAACCTCTGGGGTAGGCTCTGGGGGAAATAGTTCAAAAACATTGGATCGGATGATCTCTAATGTAATAATTGTTCCAGCTATAACATACCAGGATTCTATTCTATGTCATGATTCTGTGAATATTACATGGGGCATAGCTATATTCCCCACAGCCCCAGCTCCCACTGTTGAGAACTCTACACAGACTGGTAGATATTTGTGGCAGGTAGAATAAATTTACTTACTGAACATCTGTTTCTGCCTTTCTGATGTGCTTTCCTGAATTGTTGAATCTGGAAAGTAAAAAATGACATTTCCAAGATTTGTTTGCAGTTAGAGCTCTGAGAGTGACTTAGCCTCTGCCCATCAGATACATTTGCTCAAGGATTCAGTGGGAAACTGATTGAAGTGGGGAGAAAGGTGATAGTGCATGAAGCACCCTTTCTTTGGCCAGTGCAAATCCAGCAGGTGCAATTTGGCTCTGGAGGAAACACCTGCAGTGATGACTTCCTGCATCAACCACTTCTTGATAAGGCAAAGGCAGCAGCTCCTCTGGTAGACCCACTCTGCAGTGTTCTGATCCTAGCATGGTGTGGGAGAGGACAGACACACACATTGCAAATCTCACCTTCCATGCCCTTCTTTGGGCTCCTTTCTCCAGCCTTCCAATGATTTTGTAAATGTGTAGTTCCTTATAAATGTCTAATCCTTCTCTGCTTAAAATAGCTAGAGTGATTTCTTTATCTGATATTAAACCCTATTTGATGCAATGTTCTTTGGTCTTGACTAAATTCATTTCTTGTTTGACATTCTTAGTGTCTACAGAACAGCTGTGGGCCCACCCATTCACTGATGTTATCCTTTCCTGCCACTTCTCCTTTGTGAAGGGCACAGAGAATCTTGAGTTTTCTTGGGAAAGAGAAGACATCAAAGAGGAATATGAGGTAGAGAATGATAAAGAAATTTACCGCTTTCTCAGGTACTATGATTTTTTTGAAGTTTTCTCAAAGTTGGTTTACCAGTTTCACAATAATACAGAGCAACTAGAAGATCAAAACTCTTTGTATGAGGGAAGAGTCTCTGTGGACCGGGATGAAATTTCTGAGGGGACTTTATCACTTTTACTAAGAAATGTGAATTTCATGGATGAAGCTGTCTACAAGTGCTCAGCCATCACACCAGATGGAAGAGGTGAAAAGACAGTTAAGCTAATAGTAGAAGGTAAGAGAATTTATTGGTTGAACTCGGTTTTAAGCTCTGCATTTTTTCATAAAGATAAATTCTGAGTTTTCTTTTCTGCTGTTCTCACTTTTTCTCTTCTACTTGAATTGTTATAGGTTCTTCATGTTATTCCTATGATGAGAGTCAGGTGTTTGGAATGTCAATTCATCTAAAAATATTGCTCTGAACAAAAGGTGCTGTACCTATATCTGCATGCATCATTCATTCCTACAAACAAACAAAACATTAAAAAAAAAGACAACAACAACAACAAAAACCCCACTGGTCATATCTCAAACTCTCCAAACAAATTGTAATAGTGAAAAACCAAAATGTCATATAACAGAATAGTTCTACATGAAAACTCTGAGATATGACATGGGATTTAATGAGAAGAGCCCTGCACTGGGAGTCGGGAGGCCCAGTTCTAATTTTGGATGACTTTGGACAACATTTTTAGCTTTTCTAGGCTTCACTTTTCTCACATTTAAAATTTATCTTGGATTGGATCAGTGGATCCCCATAGTACCCAGGGATCCTTACCCTTCACTGGATTGCATGGAGAGCTTTTTTCCACCAGAGACCTCATGAGGACTGGGGGAGGCATGGTGGAATTCCTCCAGGATAAGAGTTGAAAGACATAGGAAGGTGGTGGTGGTGAGAATCATTTGTTATCTTCAGTGATTCGCAGCAGGGTATCTGAAGTTAGTGGAGAATTTAGAATGAACGCACCCAAAGAGGGGAAGATTCCAAACATAAAGACAACAGTGATAGATGAGACCTGGAAGGCGGGAGTGTACATGTATTCTGTTCTTCTCTCACTATGCTTGGGTCAAAATTTTAACTACTTAATAATAGCCATTCTGACAGAGTGATATCTCATTATGGTTTCAATTTGCATTTCCCTGGTGATTAGTGATATTGAGCATTTTGTCATTTTTTTTGTCATTTGTCTATCTTCTTTTGAAAAACTTCTGTTCATGTCTTTTGCCCACTTTACTCTTCTTTCTTTATTTTTTTTTTGAGACAGAATCTTGCTCTGTTGCCCTGGGTAGAGCTCAGTGGCATCATCGTAACTTACTGCAACCTCAAACTCCTGAGCTCAAGTGATCCTCTTGCCTCATCCTCCCGAGTAGCTGGGACTACAGGTGCACACCACCACATCTGGCTAATTTTTCTATTTTTAGAATAGACGGGATCTTGCTCTTGCTCAGCCTGGTCTTGAACTCCTGAGCTCAAGCAATCCTCCTGCCTTGGCCTCCAAGGCTGCTAGAATTATGGGCATGAGCCACCACACCCAGCCTTTTGCCACTTTTTAATGGGGTTGTTTATTCTATTATTGATGATTTGTTTGAGTTCTTTGTACATTCTGGATACTAGTCCTTTATAGATGTATAGTTTGTGAATATTTTCTCCCATTTGGTAGGTTGTCTATTTGCTCTATTGATTATTTCCATTGCTGTGCATAAGCCTTTTAATTTAATCAAGTCTCAATTATTTATTTTTGTTATTGTTGTAATTGCCTTTGGGGTCTTAGTCATAAATTATTTGCCTAGGCTGATGTCTAGAAGAGTTTTTCCTACATTTTCTTCTAGAATTTTTATGGTCTCATACCTTACATTTAAATCTTTTATATCCATCTTAAATTAATTTTTGAAAATGCTGAGAGATAGGGATCCTGCTTCATTCTTCTTCATGTGGCTATCCAATTTTCCTAGCATGATTTATTTAATAAGGCTTCTGTTCAATGTGTATTGTTGTCTGTTCTGTCAAAGATCAGTTGGTTGTAGGTAGATGATTTTATATCTGGGTTCTCTATTCTGTTCCATTGGCGTATCTCCATTTTTGTGCCAGTATTATGCTGTTTTGGTTACTATAGCCTTGCAGTATAGTTTGAAGTCTGGTAATATGATGCCTCCAGATTTGTTGTTTTTACTTAAGATTGCTTTGGTTATTTGGGCTCTCTTTTGATTCCACACAAAGCATAGAATTATCAAAAAACAATAGATGTTGGTGTGGATACAGAGAGAAAGGAACGCTTTATACACTATTGGTGGGACTGTAAATTAGGACAACCTCTATGGAAAACAGTATGGAGATTCCTCAAAGAAATAATATAGACTTACCATTCAACCCAGCAACCCCACTACTGGGTATCTACCCAAAGGAAAAGAAGTTATTTTATCAAAAAGACACCTGTACTCGAATGTTTATTGCAGCACAATTCACAATTGCAAAGATGTGGAATCAACCTAAGTGCCCATCAATTCATGAGTGGATTAACAAAATGTGGTGTATATATATACCATGGAGTACTACTCAGCCATAAAAAGAAATGAATTAATGTATTTTGCATCAATTTGGATGGAACTGAAGACTATTATCCTAAGTGAAGTATCTCAGGAATGAAAAAACAAACACCACATGTACTCTCTAATAATCTGAAACTAATTGACAGACACACATAGGCACAGAGAGAAATAAAAGTCATTGGAAGTCAAGAAGTGTTGAGAGGCAAAAGGGGAGGGGTAAAAACCTACCTAACAGGTACAATGAACACTATTTGGGTAAAGGGCACACTGATAGCCCTGATTTAAACATTATAAAAATTATCCATGTAACAAAAACATTTGTGCCCCCTTAATATTTTAAAATAAGAAAATATTTTAGCTATAGTGAACCTCAAGATGTGTTGCCTACAAAAGGGGTTAATGTATTAATAAAGGCCAAGGGCAAGATTTCTGCTAGCCTGAGCCTCCTGTGGCTAAAGTAAAAAAGGAACTAATTGTTTTGTTATTTCCTTCCAATCAGATTCTGAAATGCCCCAGGTGCAGTTTGACAAGATTGATGATGAGGACGTGGCCACATGCATCTCCAAGGGCTGGTACCTCTCACCCAATGTGACCTGGCTGGACCGGGCAGAGAGGGACCTGAGCAACCACAGCACCCTGGAGGTCCTGGAAGAGCAGATGAATGGCTTCTACAGGGTGTTCTCCATCCTGAAGTACCCTGTCAAGTTACATGAGAAGTATGTGTGCCACATAACAGAGACAGATGTGAACAACCAGCCATTCAGAATCATCCGCAAGTACCCAAGTAAGTGCAAATCTGAAAGGAACAATGAAAGCAGGATGCATTTCACCACAAAGAAGGCATCTTTAATACTTACTGAATGCCAAGTGAATCGGGCACTCCTGGGCACTTTGGGGATTTCAAGAAGCATCAGGAACATAAAGTTGTAGTCTGGGCCAAAAGGAGGTAGTGAGGTGGAGTCTCTCTGGGTTTGAAAAAAAGGCCATGCTTCAGGGACGGACAGCTGTGACCATGACAGATGTGACCCTTACTGTTGACAAGGCTTCTGTGTCTCTGCAGAAAACATCAGCTTTTGATGCGACAGGCTGAGTAGTTACAGCAAATATTTATCAGCCTTTGATTATGTACCTGGTACTTTACATATGTCATTTTAACTCTTTACCTCCACCCTGCAAGGTAATTGTTATTACTGTCCCCTTCTATATGAGGAAAGCAAGAAGTTAAACTATTTGGCTAAAGATAAAGGTAAATAAGCACAAGAGTCAGGATTCAAGCCCATTCTTGCTGAATCCGAAGTTCATGCACTTTATTTTTCTTATACCACACTTCAGTTATAGATCTAAGACTATAACCAGCATGAGTAGATCAAAGTCAGGTAAGTTTGGAGAAGGGGACCCCCTATGTGAAAAGTAGAGACAACTAATGAAGTCACTGTCCCCACTCATGAATCCTGGACAGTCTCAACATTGCCAAATCAAGGGATGTCAAATTAAATTCTGTGAAACCCTGCAGTTCCTTGAGACAGTCCTTGAGAGATAATTTGATGGACAATTTTTTATGTGGCTCTTCTCTTACTTCTAAACTGTCCTCAAATCAAAGATTTGAAAAAACATGTAAGAAAAAGACCAGCTATTTACTGAACACATAATTATATGCTAGGGCAGAGGCAGATATTTTTGCATACCACATTTAACCCCACAGTGACCTCTGAGTTAGATATTAATATTACCCTCATTTAGCAGAGGAGGAAACTAAGGCTGTGAGAAGGTAAATTATTGACCACAGGCTATCCAGCTGTTAGTGTTAGAACCAGGACTAGAACCCAGATAGAACTATTAACAAAGGTCTGGGTACTTTCCACTATACCATGGTTAACTCAGGGGCTTTAAGTTCCTTGTGTTATAGCATCTACAGTCTCAGGCAGAGGTCATTGATCTATGCTGCTACATGAGTCCCCACCTGCCTCTCCATCAAGGAGGAAGTACATAATTTTATATCCCTAACAGCAATGTATGAGGGTACTGATTTATCAACATCCTTGCCAGTACTCATTATCATGTCTTCTTTGTTAGCCTTCCTAGTAAGTGTGAGTGGCATTTGTGGTTTTGATTTGCATCTCCCTGATGGCTACTAATATTGTGCATCTTTTCTTGTGCTTATTGGTGATTTATATAATACATCTTCTTTGTAGAATTGTCTAGTCATATCCTTTACCATTTAAAAATGGGTTATTTATCATTTCATTATTGAGTTGTAAGAATGCTTTATATACTTTGAATACTAATCTCTTATCAAATATATAATTTGCAAATATTTTCTCCCCTTCTGTGGGTTCTTTTCACTTCTTGATGATGTCCTTTGAAGTGGTAAAATTTCTGATTTTGGTGAAGCCCAGTTTATTTTCTTATCTTGTCACTATGCTTTTGGCACTATGTCTAAAAATTTATTGCCTAATCTAAGGTTATAAAGATTTACTCCTACGTTTTCTTCCAAGAGCTTTATAATTTTAGCTCTTACCTTCAGGCCTGTGATCCATTTTAAATTAATTTTTGCATATAGTGTGAGATAGGGGTCCAATATCCCTGGACCATGTGTTGAAAAGATTATTCTTTTCTCCTTGAATTGTCTTGATGTCCTTGTTGATAATTTAGTGACCATAAATATAAGGGTTTATTTTTGGAATCTCGATTATATTCTATTGATCTATGTGTCTGTCCTAATGCCAGTACACACTGTCTTGATTAATATAGCTTTTTAGTAAATTTTGTCACAGGGGAGTGTGAGTTTTTAAATTATGTTCCCTTTTATGAAGATTGTTTGGACTATTCTATTTGTGTTTTGGCATTTCCATATGAATTTTAAGATCAACTTGTCAATTTCTGCCAAAAAAAAAAAAAAAGCGCTTGGGATTTCTATACAGAATGTGTTGAATCTATGGATCAATTTTGGGAGTATTGCCATCTTACTGATATTATGTCTTCCTATCTATGAACACAGATGTCTTTCCATTTATTTAGATTTTCTTTAATTCTCTTGGTATCTTGTAGTTTTCAATATATACTTTTTGTAATTCTTTTGTTACATTTATTCTTAAGTATTTTATTACTTTTGATGTTTTGTAAATGTAATTGTTTTCTTAGTTTCATTTTTAAAATGCTCATTGCTGGCCGGGTGCGGTGTCTCATGCCTGTAATCCTAACACTCTGGGAGGCCGAGGCAGGTGGATTGCTCAAGGTCAGGAGTTCGAAACCAGCCTGAGCAAGAGCGAGACCCCCGTCTCTACTATAAATAGAAAGAAGTGAATTGGCCAACTAATATATATAGAAAAAATTAGCCGGGCATGATAGCACATTCCTGTAGTCCCAGCTACTCGGGAGGCTGAGGCAGAAGGATTGCTTGAGCCCAGGAGTTTGAGGTTGCTGTGAGCTAGGCTGACGCCACGGCACTCACTCTAGCCTGGGCAACAAAGTGAGACTCTGTCTCAAAATAAATAAATAAAGAATAAAATGCTCATTGCTAATATAAAGACATACAATAGATTTTTGTGGATTCCTTAGTATTTTCTATAGAGAAACCATGTTATCTATGAATAAAGATAATTTTACTTATTCCTTTCCAATCTTGGTTACTTATATTTCATTTTCTTGCTAAATGTTTTGGCTAGAACCTCTAGTACAATGCTGAATACCATATTTCCTCAAAAATAAGACCTACCCATAAAATAAGCCCTAGCAGGATTTCTAAGCGTTTGTGCAATCTAAGCCCTACCCGGAAAATAAGACCTAGTGATGGGTGTGGCTACACAGCATATCTGCACAACCTATGCATTTCGTCACGGAGCAGTAAAGAAGATGAGCAGCCCTTCTCATCTGCTCCATCGTGAGGGCTACTATCCCAGAGGTGACCAGGAAGGTGCGGGCAGCCCCACCAACAAGGTCAGCTCCCCCTGTCAGGTCTTGGCCATCCTATGCATGCTGCAAGCTGAGGCTTTGAGGGGAAAATAACACATCCCCTGAAAATAAGCCCTAGGACGTCTTCTTGAGGAAAAATAAATATAAGACCCTCTCTTATTTTTGGGGAAACATGATACTATGATGTATTATACTGATTGATTTTTGTATGTTGAGCCAACCTTGTACTCCCAGGATAAAAGTCACTTGGGCATAGTATATAATCCTTTTTATATGTTGCTGGATTCAGTTTACTAGTATTTTGTTGAGGATTTTTGCATCTATATTCAAAAGAGATATTGGTCTGTAGTTTTATATTCTTGTAGTTGTCTCTTTTTCATACAAGGATAACACTGGCTTTATAGGATGAGTTGAAATGTGTTCCTTTTTATTTTTTAGAAGAGTTTGTGTGGGATTGGTGTTAATTTTTAAAAATTCTTTAACTTTTGTTACTTTTCTTTATTGTTTTTCCTATTCTCTATTTCACTCAATTCTAGTCTTTATTATTTCCTTCCTTCTCCTTGCTTTAGCTTTGGTTTTAATTTCTTTTTCTACTAACTTAAGTTGAAAGGTTAGGTTATTGCTTTAAGATCTTTCTTTTTTTTAATATAGGCATTTCCAACAATAAATTTCCCCTGATCACTGGTTTAGCTGCACCTTATAAGTTTCGTATGTTGTGTTTTTATTTTCATTTGTCACAAAGTATTTTCTAATTTCCCTTGAGATTTCTTCTTTTACCCATTGGTTATTTAGGATTGTGTTGCTTAATTTCCACATATTTGTGTATTTCCTAAATTTTCTCCTAAATTTCCATGTCATTATAATAAATTTTAAAAATTGGAAGTGTGGGCCAAGTGTAGTGGCTCTTGCTTGTAATCCTAGCACTATGGGAGGCCAACACAGAAGGATTGCAGGAATTCGAGACCAGCCTAGGCAACATAACAAGTCCAGCCTTGACAAAACATTTAAAAATTAGCTGGGCATGGTGGCAGGCACCTGTACTCCCAGCTACTTGGGAGGCTGAGGCAGGAGGATTGCTTAAACTCAGGAGTTTGGTGCTGCAGTGAGCTATCATTGCATTACTGCACTCTAGCCTAGGCGACAGAGCAAGACCCTGAATCTGTAGATCAATTTGGGTAGCATTCCCATCTTAATAATATTAGCTTTTTTTTACCCATCAACATGTTATATCTTTTTGTTTATTTAAAGCTACCTTTTAAAATGTGTAAAATAAAATGTGGAGGTCCTGAGATTAAGGGAATTTGGAGAGAAAAAAGGCAAGTATGTGACACACTAGGGAAGTGAAGTCAACTTTGGTACTATTTGCTACCGTTTTATTTTTGAAGGGTGTGATGGCTCTGAACCATCCTACTGCAAGAAAGATAAAGAAAAGGGAAAAAAGAATGGGAAAGAGAAAGGAGGGAAGATGAGGGAGAGAAAGAGACAGAGGCATGGAGGGAGAGAGAAGGGGCAACATGTATTGGCCCAGTTAGATAAAGACTGAAAATATTTATCTCATTTAGTGACTTGCAGGTCTTTCGTAACCTTAGCAAGAGCTGCCCATCAGAGTGATCACCCAGCAACCACAGCAGAAAAAATTAAGGATTAATAATAATAGTATCTTCCTTATGGCGTTGCTATGAAAATTGAAAGATTTAATAAAGTTAAAGTTCCCAGCATAGTTCCTAGAACATAGTACACTAACAGTAAATGTTAGATGTTATTGTCATTAATGATGTTATTATTTTTATGATTCCAATATATTAAGAATGTTTGTTTTTCAGAGGGTGGGATTATAGATTGTGCCCTTTAGGCATTGTTCCAGAGTTATGA